TATATATATATATATATATATATATATATATATATATATATATGTATATTTCGCAATAAAAGTAAATATATTGCTGTTTTCAAATACATAACCAACATCTTTAAATCAATATATGTTTTAATCCATCATATGTAATTCTATTGTATCGTTCGCAGTGCATAAAGGGATTGTAGTTCTTTCCGTCGTTGAGTAAGTACACAGGCTTGTTGTACCATTGTCTTTTGGTCCAACTTTCAAATACTTTTTTGATTCAAATCAAAGTTTGTAATGTAGTGGTTTACCTCGTAGCTTCTTGGTTTGGTTTATGGCTTGTAACCCTTTAACGAAGATTAAAAAAAAATACTCTATGGGAAAAACGAATGAAAAAAACATTCTAGAGCCAAAGTAGCTGAATACATAGATGTGTACAGATACATATCTATGGCTGAAAAAATAGCCAGGCACTGTTGCACTCTATAAAGGATGGGTTTATTTGGTAAAAAGTCCAAATTCGATAGATTGTATGCGTAGTTTATCTACAGTAGCCACTACGCGTTCACGCCGTTACGCTCCCAACCCGCAGGAGGCGATGCTGCGCTTTCAAACACACTTGTACTGAGAGACACACGAAGAAGGTTGAACTGCGCGCGCGGGCAGCAGCGGAGATGGCAGAGAGCGGAGGTAAAATTTTATTCGGGTTTTCAAGCCTTTTTAAATGCGCAAATAACTTTCAACATCAGCAATACAATAAAGAGGGGGGAAAATGTGTTATGTCATTTAATCTGTAACTCTGGAATGTTAGAAAATACTTTATTTTACAGGTATTTATTGTAGGTAATATATATACGTGTGTGAACAACAAACTGTGTATTTTATATACACACACATAGGGCTGGGTATCGAGTTCAATACTTTTTAGGCACCGACCGAATTGCCTCGATACCATCGAGTATCGAAAAACGTCTGGTCGTTCGGTAGCAAATTTCGATACCTAAGGGGTTAATCTCATCACCGTCAGTGAGCCAATAAGCCTTCAGCACTAGGTGTGCTCGATTAGAAGCGGCGCAGATCGACCAGTGTTTGACATCCGCGAGAGCGATGCGAAAACGTACGGAGCAGTCTGCTCGTGGTACGGTTATACACCGGTAGGTCTGCACAGTCGGTCCGCGTCACACTCAGAGACGTGGCTCACACGTGAGGATTCAGTGTGAATGCGTCCCAGCCCCCGTAGCTGTAAGGCTACATTTTCACTGGTGCGTTTTTGTTTTAAAATGAAAACGATCCTCGTCATACTGGCGTTTCCACTGCGTTTTAAGCCGGCTTTCCACCATCTCCGACAAATGACAGACCGAAAGTCATCCATTTCCAATGGAGAGTAGCGCGGGAGCTGCGTGGAGTTCCAATCATATGCAGATGTCCGTTCATACTACAAGACTGATCGAACATTTTTGAACGATACCCAGCCCTACACACACACACACACACACACACATATGAAATGTTTCTTGATCAGCATATTTGAATAATTTCGGAAGGATCATGTGACACTGAAGACTGGAGTAATGATGCTGAAAAATCAGCTTTGCCATTGCGAAAAGAAATTACATTTTAATATATATATTACAATAGAAAACAGTTATTTTAAATTTTAATATATTTCACAATATTTCAGTTTTTATTGTATTTTGATGAAATAAACAATAGGATAAGAAACTTCTTAAAAAAAAAACATTTTTTTTTAAATTAATTATTCCAAATTGTTGACCACCAGTGTATATATTTGTGGATTAACTTGTCTCTCATGACTATAGTTTCGGTGGGCTCTGAATCCCTGCAGCAGTATGAAGCACAGTTCTTCGGCTTCACCCCAGAGACCTGCACTTTACGAGTTCGTGATGCCTTTCGAGACTCCCTCAATCACATATTGGTCGCTGTTGAATCTGTGTTCGTGAAAAGATTGTGTCCAGGCCAGGATCCGCCAGCACAGCTCCGACTGACAGCCCGAGAGAGCACCCAAAAACTGCGGCAGTTCTTACAGGAGCGCTTTGAAATCATGTTTCAGCGCATGAAGGGGATGCTGATGGACCGCGTCCTCTCCATCCCTCACAACGTCCTGCTGCCCGATGACCAGCTGCATCAGAAGTACCCAGAAGGCAAAGAAGACCTCATGAAGCTGCAGGACTCCATTGCAAAGCTTCTGCAGGCTTATGAAGCCGAGGTGTGCGCCAAGCTAGCGCTTCTCGCTGAGCTTGAGGAGCAGAAAGAAACGCAGAAACAGCTGGATGAAGTGCTGCGATGGATCGAGGAACTGCGACGTTCATGGAGGCGAGAGGGAATGGGAAATGTCCAAGACAGCATCCGACACATGATGGAGACTGTGGGCCAACTGCAGGATGTTGTAGGAAAGATTAACAAGCGAAATAAAGGACTGGATGAAGTTTGATGTTTTATTTGTAACATTTGAGACCTCCAAACTACAGGCCCTGTGGTGTAATTGCATTGTCCATCCACCAGGGGGAGACCGTGCACAATATATTCGGTACAATTATAGTAACATACAAGTACCACGATCAGTCCAGCTTCAAAGCAATACATTTGTAATCAGGCGATTTTCCTCAGACATTTAAAATGCAGTCCATCTCTCCTTCCTCAAAGTCATTGAGTTTTCTCATTTAAGGTTTCAGTGCCTTTGATGTTCAGTACAGTGAGATCTGCATTAGATTAGCCCAAATTTCCCACAGGCCCAAACTGATGTGTCCAACAGCCTGGTTGGCTTTACACTTTACAGAAAGTTTTGTGTTGTTTGAGGAGATGTTTTAAGGTCTTGCCCTTGATGTTCAGAGGAGAAGGATTTTAAGTTCACATTGACTTCTACAGGACCTCATCACCAGCAGAGGAACACCTCTATTTGTACATAGTCTGAATCTAAATTACAGTACTTGGATTGAGTTGCTAAATGCAGATGTCAATTTGGAAAGCAAATGTTAGAAATAAATGTTATAGTACTAGTACTAAAATGTAAAACTGATATGCTAGTTTTGTCCATAACTGTAAAATTATTTTTTGTTTGTATTTTGATGCATTCTTTTTCACAAATGAAGTATATACTGAAAGATATTTGTATGGGGAACAACAAATACATTTAACCTTTTCAGTAATGCAACAATTCAGTAATAATGCAATGCAAATCAGTAATAATAATGCAAATGCAATTATTCAGTAATAAATTGAATTGTGCTGCAAAAGTCCTCCTAATATATTGCTAATCTGTATTTTTATTGTTTTTAGAATATTTGTATAACCTCAGCAGAAAAAAAACAAAACAACAACTTTCAATTAAATGTAGAAATATTTGTATGAATGTAAAAAGATCCAACTTATGAGACATAAACAGCAGTAGGACAATGGCATGTTCACACCATGATCGGGGACCCTGGGCATCTTCTGATGTTTTTCAGAGTCAGTAGAAAGGTCTTTTCAATGCCCTAAGTTATTATAAGGGTGACCTTCATTGCCTGCCGCCTGTAAGCTGTTAGTTTCGTAAGGTCTGTTGCACAGGTGTATGTGCAATAATTGTTTATGGTTCACTGAACAAGCATGAAAAACATTGTTTAAACGCTTTCTAATAAAGATCTTTAAAGCTTATTTGGATTTTATAAAATTATATCTATAATACAGTATCCTGAAAAAGGGACTTTTTTGCAAGTTTATTTTCACCCAAAAGCAAGATAAAATTAAATATATTGAAGAAATAATCCTCTCAAAAATCAAAAACTAAAAAAAAATTCTACAAGAGAAAATAAATAGAGATTATGATGGTCCGATGAAAGAAAGATGTCAAATTTGTTAGAAACAACCACACAGCAGTGTTAACTAGTTTTCTGAAATGTAATGACAAGGTAATATAACACTATGTATATATTATATATTTTTTTAATAAAAATATTAAAAACGTATTAACATTTACAATGTTAATAAGTGTGGAAACATGTCATCACAATTTGAAAAGGGCTCATTCCCTTCTAGTTCCCTTCCGAGGGAACTTCGAACTGCGTCCTCTAGGGGTCGCTATGGGGAACGCCTTCGACGTGACGGGTGTCTGAAGCATAAATCTAAACACGACAATGATATTGGCCAGCGACAGCCTATGACGTCACTACCGGCATGACCACAGTATAAAAGGACGCCGGTAGAACACGTCATCCTCTTCTTCGTCGTCACGACTGTTTGTTTGGAGTTGCATACTGGTGAGAACACGATTCTGTTTGTTGTTATCATGGCGAGCACCAGCACAAGCAAGGCGTTTAAGAAGTGTGTGGATCCGTGTCAGCGTTATCTGACACCTGATGACACACACGATCTTTGCGTCGCGTGTTTGGGCGAGGAGCATGCGCGTGACGTCCTAGAGGGGGCGGCATGCGTTCATTGCGAGCTTTTCTCCATGAGAAAATTCGAATTTTTCGAGGAAAGATGGGCAGCCATCGGTTCCTGGGGGCTCAGGACCTGCCACTGCTGAGGCACAGAGGAAACTGAGTTCATGGGGTTCTCAGGTGGACCTGGCCAATGAATTGAAGAAGGGACTTTCCCTTACTCGTTCTTCGGTTATGGACAAGA